CATTGTTGAATTTAAGGCAGATTTCTGTATTTTGGAGGAGTTTGGTGTGTGTGGGTGTGTGGGTTGGTGTGTGTGTGGGTGGGTGGGTGTGTGTGTGTGTGTGTGTGTGTGTGTGTGCTCAGACGGTATTTTAACACGGCTAGCCGACTTCTAGCAGCCCACAGTTAAACAGTGACTCACAGATTCCTCTCTCTCTCTCTCCCTCTCCCTCTCTTTCTCACCAACCTCACTTTTTTCTCATCTGTTTCTTCCTCAATTATTTTTCCTTTCTCTTCTTTTTGACCTCTTTCCCTGCTTTTCTCTCTCTTTCTTTCCCCTGCCTCACCGCACCCTCTCTTTCTCTCTCTCCAGGTTGGGTGCTGACCATAGCAGACTTTAGGACGGAGGTGTTTTTTCCTCTGCTCCTCCCCCCTCTTCTCTCCAACTGTGCCAGCCCTAAACCCAGTAAGTTACAATATGACCATACCATCCCAACCATATGTAACTAGAATGATTATAAATGTCTTTTTTACTGTCTTATTTGGATGTTTTGTAGTTTCATATCCCAAAGGGTTCATATAATCTAATCAAACTTGTTTTATACAGACAAAACTGTTTAGTGATGCCAATTATATTCCTTAAATTAAAAAAACCTGAGTTATCCCTTTAACAGTGCAGCTTTGATTGGTTGAGAAAAGCAAAAAAAAAAAAAAAAGCAACCGTAATAGGGGTTTAAATTCCCCTGCTCTGCATAATCAGGAAACACAATACACGCATATGTATGAACACTTACACAGGTCGTTTCAACATTAGAGACGCCCAAATCAAAAGCAATGCCAAATGTTCCTGACTGGTGCTGCTGATAAAAAAAAGTTTCCTGACACATAAACACACACACACACACGCACACACACAGCCCCCCGAGGGCCCCTGGGACTTCAAAGAGCCGTCTACTGTACCTCAGCGACACCTCAACACCAGGTGCCGCGGAGATGAGGAAGGAGGGGTGGTGGAGAGAAGAAATGGAAATTGGGAGAGAAGGAGCAAGAGGGAGACATGGGCATGAAAGGGAGAAAGAAATAAAGTGAGACGTGGAAAGAAGGGGTGAAGAAGACTGATATGAGTACTGAATCAGTGAGAAAAAAAAGGGACGGTGAGAGTGGGAATTAGGCAGGTGGAGATGAAGGGACCGAAAGCAAAAGAGATTGTTGTTTTAAAAAGCTTCGAAAATTAGGAAGGAATAAGATGAGAAGAAAAAAAGACTGGTGTGAAAGCCGACCAACAAGAAAGGGAGAGACCTAAAACAGGCCAGAAAGACAGACAGCAGACAAGGAGCTGCAGTCAAAGACGGAGAGATGTGGGGGAGGGCAGTAACACTCTGCTGCTAATACCCCTGCTGCTTTGTTGTGAAGAACCCCAGTTCCCCGTTTAATGGTGAACTATTCCTTTAATGATAGCAGTAAAACACACTCACTCACACACACACACACACACACACACACACACACACACACACACACACACACACACACACTCACACACATTGCTGTTCCTCTCTGCCTGACAGGAAATGTGGTTCAGAGCACAACGTGACGAGTCACAGTTTAACTTTTACAACTTGCGGGCCCTGACGCACACTCACTCGCACACCAAAGTTCAAATGCAAAAGCAGCATTTATAGCTTGAAAGGGTTTGTCAGTGACCTATATGGGGCAGAAATGTGGGCCTTTGTGTCATTTCTGGTGCCTGTAAGCTTTTGAATTAACTTGTCTAGAAGCTGTCAGTCATGCAGACAGGCAGGATATGTGGGTTTGAAGAGAGAATCACACTAAGAGCAAGATATATTCTTAACATAAAGCCATTTGGTGAGTGCTTCGATCCCAGCTGCCTTACAGTGCAATGAGTGCACACATTTTTGCATGGCTGCCACAATGAAACCTTTGAGTTACACAGGAAATCTGGCAGCGCTAGTGCCTTGCTCAATCTGTTGGAGAATTCATTCACATGGGGAAGTGAGCCACGCAGGACAGGGCCGGGTATGTCTTAACAGAAGAGTGCGTCATTTTGGGAAATTTTAAGACAAAGTTAGACAAGAAGTTCAATGATACCTCCATGTCTGTACAGTTGATATGAAAGCTACAGCCACCAGCTGATTAGCTTAGCTTAGCTTAGCATAAAGACTGGAAATGAACACATTTTGTCTTGTTTAATCTGTACAAAAACTAAAGCTGTGGTTTGTCGGGGGGGGTTCCGTGCTGGACTACACAACACCATGATGTTACTAGACAACAGGTTTTTGTAGGGATTAAACAAATGAGAACCATGCTTTCAGTCTTTATGCAAATCTTAGCTAAAGCCCAAAGTTTCCCAAAATGTCAAACTACTGACTTCAATAGGTGGATTCCAAACTGTTGAAATGTCGCAATCTGCAAACTACGAATCCTTCAGATGGAATCTCCAGAAACTGAAATACATCTGCAGAAAGTGGTTTCACTGGGTGTAAATTTGTACAACTGTTACAAAAGGGAAGCAGAACTATGCTAAAGAGGATGGAAGTACAAAACCTTCTGCCACCACATACTAGAGGAGCGTAGCCTTTTTCAAACACAGAATAGGGTTTTTAGTGATCTGTGGTGATATTTCTCTTGCAAATGATCTTTTTGTGTAATAGTAGCACCTATGTTCAGTCCTTAGTCCACAGTTCATTTCATACAATGCAAAGTGAGGGTGCTCCCTATACAATAGAGTGATATATCATGCTCTGTAACTACATAATGCTGAACACCCAGCAGTGAAACTCCAGAGCTTAATTCACACTCAGCTCTCTCCATTCAAAATGCAAATTGAGACTGCAACTTATACAATAAGGAGCGAGTTTGCATTCCCCTCACAGATTGTGAGGGGACTTGTTTCATCGAAAAAAGAACTTCAGTCTTTTAAAATTGGTGCTTCACAGGTGGCCTGCACCGCCTCCAAGGACTCACAAATGAACGGCAAGGGAAGGCAGGGAGGCAAGGTGACCCAATGTAAAAATATGACAACCCTCCACCCTGCTGATGTGTCCTTGAGCAAGACACCGAATCCCCAGTCGCTCCAGCAGTGGGTTTCTGGAGCTGAGCCTGACCTCTGACCTCCCTGTGGAGGGTGGCAGACAAAAAGAGATTTTCCCTATGGGGATTAATAAAGTATCACATTATCATTTGAATGCAGCTGATTGTATCTTTGTCAGTCTTCATTTCAGCCTGCGGACCTTTCGGTAGAAATGCATGATCTGACCTTGTCACGGTAAGTCTCCTGTATCTGTTGGGAAAGGTCTGCAGACCCAAATGTCAAATGATAAAGGAACAATCAGCTATGTTGTACGCCTCCCACCTCCCTGTTCATTTATCAGCATTCAAGCTACAATTTATTACAATGTCACACCTCTTTCTTTTTGACTTTACTTGTTTCTTTTGTTGCCTTGCTGCAGCATTCAGGATTCGTCCAAACCAACTCACATACAGATTAACCGTGATTGCTTGGAATCATCACAAGCAAAATACATAAGCAACAGAGAGTCCGTAGCTCAAGTGTTAAGTCTACAGATTATTCTTTCTGTGGGTTTTTTCAGACTGATTTTAAGATGTTTCCGGTATAAAGCAGCACAAAATGTCACAGACAAATCTTTCACATCTCAGTGTGCACTCATTGCAGTGTTATTGCGCAAGACCAAAGGCCAGCTAAAGCAAACTTAAGAAACAGCAAACACTGACATTCTCTCTCTCTCTCTCTCTATGTGTGTGTCCTCTTTCTTTCTGTCTCTCTCTCTGTCCCTGTGGTCAACAATCCCTCTGCTGGCCTTTATCCCCAAATCCCCATGGACAGAGAGTCAGGAGAGAGGGAATGCTTAAATGGTTTGAATGATGGTGTGGAATGCTAAAAAGTGTGTGTGTGTGTGTGTGTGTGTGTGTGTGTGTGTGTGTGTGTGTGTGTGGTTGTGGGGGGGGGAGCAAGGAGGAGTGTGTGTAAGGAGGGGGGGGGTCTCCTGCCTGCTCTAGGATCTGGTATGCGTGACTGAACAAGAGGAGGAGAAAGAGAGGAAAAGAAGAAAAAAAAATCCCCCACCAAAACCTGCCTTCCTAACTTCTAAAGACAGACAATGGCTACTGACTGGTCTGGCAACCCTCTCTCTAGTGTGTGTGTGTGTGTGTGTGTGTGTGTGTGTGTGTGTGTTTGTGTGTGTGTGTGTGTGTGTGTGTGTGTGTGTGTGTGGGGTGTCACTTCACACACAGGACACGTCCTGATGGAAAGCAGAAAGAGGGAAATCTGCTCTAACCAACTTTAGATCTCATTACTCCGCACATGCAGCCGCACAGACAGGGGCTCTGCCACATGTGAAATAAAACACTGCAAAAATAACCAAAACTAATACCCAAAACCTTCAATTTAAACCATGAAATCCACCAAACAGAACCCCTAAAACCCCCCTTGTGCGCACTGAAACCTTGAGACTTAAATGTGAAAACTCAACTGCCCTACCAGTTGAGCTTGAAAACATTTTTTTCCCCTTCCTTCCTTGCTGCATTTGAGGATAAAAAACAGACGTTGATGATTAAAAAAATCAGCAGGGTAGAACAGCTTCCTATAATAAACGCCCTGGTGATAATTAATTACACAGGCACTACAGCCAAATCAAGACGGCAAGCATCCATTTTGAATCTCCTCGTAAATAATAAAACAACACAACAGATTTTTTTCCAGCCCTTTTGAGAAGCAAGACTGGACTGATCAGAGACAATACTCAGAAATGTGTGGGTGGGTTATTAGGAGCAAATTGGTTAAAATAAAAAGCCCATATTGAATAAAATGGACAATATCATTGTAGGAAAAGACCATAGTAGTGCTGACTTTCTTGTGGGAATAAACAATGTCAAATTAGCTTGTGGAAACTGACATTTTTCACACATTTGTTCAAAACAAAAAAACATACATGGGGACAACAATAAAATGCTACACCTATACAAAAGTAGTCCACACCGCTCTTTTCGTTCATTATATAAATATCTTTAATTGTTTTAACCGTAAGAATATAAAACAATTTAATTTTGGGATTCTGCATTTTTTTTCTTCTTTACAAACACATAATATACAGTACATCTTTTTTATTTTCAAACACACACAGCTTTTTCAGCAGGACGCACATCCGTATATTAATTTTTCTAGCAGGTCATTGCATTACATTAAAGCGCGCACACACACAGGCCCCCGTGTGCGTGCGCGCGTGTGCATGTGTGTTAATGTGTGTGTGTGTTTGTGTGTGCGAAAGAAAGAGAGAGAGAGATGGGGAGAGGGAGAGAGACGCATTCCGCTTGTAACCCGAGATGGGGAGAGAGAGAGAGAGAGAGAGAGAGAGAGAGAGAGAGAGAGAGAGAGAGAGAGAGAGAGAGAGAGAGAGAAAGAAAAATAATCGATTGCTCCTTATTCTAAGCATGTCTCAAAATGGATTCAGGGTATTTTTATTCAGGGTGAGATGGAGAAAAAAAAAGATATCCCTACCCTCCTCTTCTCTTTCTTTTTCTCTTACCGGTGAGAGCAACATGAATATGAATGCGACCTGTGTTGGCATTAACGTGGGAAAATAAAGCCATGAGACAAAAAAACCTGATTCGTTTCGATCAATAAAGGGTATAAGATATAGAAATCACTTCAATTTGAAGTACGACGCTCTGAAAAACATCCTCTGACATTTGTTTCTGCCAGCATCCCTTACAAAAAACACCCAATATTCCTATAACACACTCTCATGGACGTATATTGTGTTTAATAATGACCGGATCATACCTTTATATCTGTGTTATCTCGTACTGTAGCCCTGTAATAATCCTCTATCACTATAGGATTATGATAGGATGACTATAGGTATTTATTCTAAGGGTAAGCTGATAATCGTGTCTCCTTTATATTCGTCAAAGCTTGAACACAACCTGTCTCTAAAGGGCGTTAAAGTTGGACTTTATCCCTTAAAAAAAGGAAGAAAACAAACAATTTTTAAAAAGCTCTTGCACACAAGCAGGTTTATGTTTTGTTTTGTGTTTTTTTTTTTTGCATAAAAGCGTCGCTCTCTTGAAATCTGAATGGACTTTACAACTCGGCTCTCCCTTGCTCTCTCTTTCTCTCAGCGGGAAATTGTTGCTGTTTATGAGGGTAAATTAACAAAGGTAGTTAAGATTGTGTCCTGGTCTCCTTTCTCCAGCTCTGCTCATGGAGGGAGGGAGGGGATGGGGGGAGGGGGCAGACACAGTCCCTTTAGGCACATTTTCTCCCAGTCTCTAATTCTCGCTTTCCTTCTGTTTTTTTTTTCTTTTTTCTTTTTAACAGTATACACCCTTTTGAAAACAACCACATACGAGGTAGCCAAATGTTTTTAGGCGTGATGGCTGTAGCGGAGATTAGTTTGTAATCCAGACTCACTGTAAAAAAAATAAAAAGAAAAGAAGATGTTTAAAGGAAAAATAAAAGTCTCATAAGTTTTAAAACCTCACCTTGCTTTTAAGTGGGTGCAAGTTTGGATGGATGCGAGTGTCGGTAAACGAAGCAGATTTCTCTAATGACACTCTTTGCTGATTTGCATTGAAGTGGTTCCAGTCCAATGTCAGAATCTATGAGATATTAATTAAAACTCAATATGAGATCAAAACAATTGTTAACAGGGATTTTCGTGAGGCTCACAACAAAAGTAAAGTTTTAATTGCTTCCTAGTATCCAGAATATTAAGCCGTAATCAAAAACACTAATTGAAATCCTGCAAGGCAGACAGAAAGAAAAACCAAAAAAAGAAACATTTGAACATAAAATCGTGGTCACATGGGAGAAGCACACCTTGCACAAGCACACAGGAGGGAAATGGGGACGTTTTCTCTCTTTTTTTTAAATAAGAAAAGAAATGTACCCACCCATCTATTCCCCCACCTCCTGATCCTCATGCCCCCCCACCCCCCGTCCCCAGCCAAAAAAAAAAAAAAGAAACAAAAACAAAAAACATTTCCAATCACCTCACTTTCTCACTCTCTGTCATCTGCCAGAGTCCCAGGTTCAACACTTTAAGGCAGGGGAGCTGTGTGATCCTCTCCAGTCCCCTCTTGGTGATCTTGGTACATCCATACAGGTCGATGCCCGCCAGCTGGGTCAGGTGGTCGGCTATGAGCTCCAGCCCTTTGTCCGTGATGCGCACACACTGTCCAATGTTCAGGGTCCTCAGCTCGTGCATCTGCCTCACCATCCGGTTTATCCCGTCGTCCGAGATGTGACACGAGCACAGGGACAGGGACTTGAGCTGGTACAGCCCCTGGGCAATGTACGCCAGGGTTTGGTCCCCTATCTTATCGCAGAAGGAAACGTCAAGCCCGGAGAGCCTCAGGGTGCCCATGGCGAGGTGCATGGTGCCCGTGTCGCTGATGTTGTCACAGGAGCGCAGGTTGAGGCTCCACAGGGAGGCCATGTGGGAGAGGTGGATCATCCCTGCGTCTGAGATGCCCCCGCAGAAGCTCAGGTTCAGTACCCGGAGCTTGGTCAGCCCCTTGGAAATGTGTTTGAGTGACAGGTCCGTCAGTTTCTGACAGTCCTGGAGAGTCAGGTACTCCAGGTTCAAGCAGCCCTCCGCCGCGCTGCGGGTCATGCCCGCCAAATGTCCAATCCCCACGTCCGAGACATGCCGGCAGGACCTCAGATTGAGGCTCTTGAGCCTGTGGAGGCCCCAGGCTATCAACAGGAGCCCAGTGTTGGTGATGTTGCTGCAGCCACCGAGCTCCAGCACCTCCAGGTTCTTCAGATACTGAGCTATCCTGCCAAGACTGGAGTCTGTGATCTGCTTGCACAGACTCAGGTTCAAAACCCTCAGTGATGGGATCTCCTGCACAAATGCATGACCCAGCCCGTTATCCGTGAGGTTGTAGCAGCCAGACAGATTGAGGGACTCGATGTTAGGCATTCCCTGGATCACATAGCTCAAGCTGCGGCGCAGGGACAGGATCTGGACCCTCCGGATGCCCCTGGCCTGGAGGCTGGGGAACAGGGAGGGATTGGCCCGGCGGAGGTGCAGCTTGGCCTCCACCCCCCTCCACACTGACTTGTGGTAGGATGCGTCCCTCCAAGCGATACACACTTGGGCTACCCTGCCTTTGTCCCTCACGTCCAGATAGCTGAAAATCATGGCCAAAATTTCCGGGAAGAGGCACGAAATGTGCGTCTCCATTGTTTTTCAAACCCCAGGCATATAAGAATTAATACTCCACACCTCCAAGGCTGAAAAAATAAAGAACCAACTCAAACAACCCCCCCACCCCCCCTCTTCTCTTGCAATTATGCAAAAGTATCAACAGTCCCAGTTATCCACAGAAGTAAAAGAAAAAAGAAAGGAGTTGTTTGTTTCTCTCTCTTTTTCTCACATTGAACTGTGCAAAATCGATCCAACTCTCTCCAAACCCCACGTGATCCGGTCTGGTTGCGCAGTAGGATTCAAATGCATTTAAAAAAGAAGAAGAAGAAGAAGAAGAAGAAACAAAAAAAAAGCGTTTATTCCTGCCTCAACCCCTCTCTCCGCCAAAAAGAGGAGGAGAGGGGGGCGAAAAGGAAGAAGGAGGAGGAGAGGAGGAAAAAGCGTCAATCCTTCCCCCTCTCTCTCCCTCTCTCAGACGACGCTTCCTTGTATTATACCTACAAAAAGCCGTCCTCTCTCGGCCGAGCGGGGATCCAGACGGTCGTACATTTCAGGACAAGAAAGTGGAAATAAAGCCAGCGCTCTCGTTAACGCCACCTATTAAAAAACAGTTCCATGATATAAGAGCGGAGGAGACAGAGCTAGGTTGGCTTTGTAGGCAGAGTGAGAGAGAGAGAGAGGGGCGTCCTGAGCTCAAAGCCTTTGTCTGCTCTTTTCAAACCGACTTGGCAGGGACCCCGGCACTGTAGCTGTACGGGAGGGGTGGCGGCGAGCGATAATATACATTTTATATTTACAATAAACACACTCAATGACAAACAATTTTACTATTATCCTTTTAGAGGAATAATAATACACGGGTAGATGTGTGCTCGTGTTTAAAAAGCGCTACGGTGCGGTATTAATTCGTGATTGTACTGAATCACCCCTACCCCCTCCGTGTCAGGCAGTTGGTTTGTCCCGCCTCAGCTGGAACGGTGCGAACAGTTTCCCTTGGAAACCAACTTCTTACAATTCAGTTCACTTTGGGCTTTAACCCTTTGAGCGGACCACACAGGAAACACAGGAAAGCCAACCGGAGAAGCCCCTTTCAGGCCGCTTACTTGGCATGAATATTTAGTGTTATTTCTCGCGATTTTGTTGTTGTTATTGTTGTTGAGGAAATACTAGTAGAGCGTCTCCAGAACGGCCACAGAATACAGTGTTTCTTTGTCCCTTGTAGAAAGCATCTCTTTCTATCAGTTCTCGTCTTTCACTTAGTTTTATTACAAAAATGAATGTGCATTTCCAGAGATCAGTTTTGTCAGTCAAATATTAACTGTCTGGGTGAAAGCCTGCAATAAAACCAAACACAGCTTCTTTAAATAGTCCTACTCTTTATAATGCTACAACAAATAAGTACCAAAAAAAAAATCTCTTTCAATTAACTTCAACATGCTTTATTGGCTTGTGGTGTGTTGCCAAAGCCTCAGAGATCACACTTTGTGTCAGCGTGTGTCTGTGCGTGTAGCAGGAGAGTGTGTGTCCCTCCACACACACACACACACACACACACACACACACACACTAACAGACTCAGTAGTAGTAAAACACGTGCCACAGTTTATTTAGTAAAAAAAAACATGTTACATCTGTGTTGTTACACTGCATCTGCCAGTAAATACATTGTGTACACACATGTAAGCCTATATATATTCTGAAGGGGATGGGGTGTCCTTAAATGACTGTGGTGATAAAATAATCTGTAAAGTCTCTCATGTGTCTCTCATAAAGCACCAAAATAATCACTTTGAAGCCGTTGTCTCACATCTGGCATTGCTTATGTTTTGACACTTGATACTTTAATACGACGACTCATTTTTAGTCTCAGCTGATGGCACTGAGATTGTATATATATATATATATATATATATATATATATATATATATATAGCTAAATAGCTTATTTAATGTAATGTATCAAAGCATGAAAATGATCAAGTACTGTTCTTACTCTCAAGGCAAGTTGTGACTTTCATCCTGAGCACCGGGCCTCTCCCGACCCCAGAGTAGCCTTGGTATGCGTGTGTGTGTGTGCCTCAGTGTTTATCTCTGTGTGTGTGTGTGTGTGTGTGTGTGTGTGTGTGTGTGTGTGTGTGTGCAGACAGGAGAAGATATGTGTGTGCATATGTGGCTTTTGCATCTCAGCATTATATTTTCTATATGCTTGCATCTGTCCCTCTCACTGTTTTGGCTTGTGTGTGTGTGTGTGTGTGTGTGTGTGTGTGTGTGTGTGTGTGTGTGTGTGTGTGTGTGTGTGTGTGTGTGTGTGTGTGTGTGTGTGTGTGTGTATCTGTGTGTGAGATAATATGACAGGGGAGCCGTTTGCTGAAGCCAGTGGAGTGTGGCAGAGCGGTTGAGAAAGAGTAAAAGAGAAAGAGAGAGAGAGAGAGAGAGAGAGAGGGGAGAGAGAGACAGGAAGAGCTGATGAGAAACATAGAGGCAGAGAGAGAGAGAGAGAGAGAGAGAGATGGGAGGAGAGAGGCAACAGTGATCAGGTGAGGATAAGAGAGAGGGAGAGAAGCTGCAGAAACAAGCATTTTTACATAGAAGGAGGCAGCCGAGCACAACTGACAGCAACTCTCCTCTCTTCCGCTTCTCCCTCTCATCTTCTCTGTTCTTCCTTCTCCTTAAGAATAGGGTTGGATTTTCAAAGTCTGTCTTAAAATAATAGTCAGATGATTTTTCCTTTTTTTTTGCGTGCTGTAATCATCCCTCCTGTTCATACTGGCCATTAAAAGATCCCTTTTCCATTGGAAGTGATGGGGGGACAGAATCCACAGTCCTCGTTTTGTTTTTCCGAAGCTATTATAAGGCATCAGCAGTCAGAGTGAGCACCTTTAAAAGTCTTTTTTTTTGTACAAAATTCCCTCTTTTTGTCACTATATACCTTTCAAAAAGGCTGTTTCCTGGCTACCATCTTCTCCCCTGCCTCTGCCTCATATCACCAGACCTCAACCCCACTTCTGGCTCTTTCTATTTACCCTCTCTTTCTATCTATACACTTCCCTGCTTTTGTTTCTCTTTCTTTCTGAACTCAAATTGTGGGACAGATCAAAGTCTTCTCCCTCCCTCTCAAATGCACATTATTGGCATGAATGATGAGGTGAAAATATGGCCATTTAATTAAGGTGTTTTTAATATAGCATGATTTCTATTTAAGGTCATCATAAAAGCAAACAAGCACACATGTCAGATTAAGGAAGGCTATAGTTGTTATAGCACACAAACCTTTGGTGTAAACATTGATTTAAAACTGCTTAAATGCTGGATTCATGAACGCAAAGCATCGGAAAATCGACCAAAATTGTCTGGTGACTATTTCTAACGTCCCACTCTGCTTTTAACTTATATCCTGTAACTTCATCAAGGGCAAAAACAAAGCAGTTAACTGCACTGTCCCCTGTGGCTGGCAGCACCTACGTCCTTGGTACTCGGGCGCAGAGTGTGTCATGCATTTTCAAAATAGAGATCCTGACATGAATACCAAGCTTTATAATGATACTGCAAACACCTTGAGTTATAAACAGAGTGTGGAGATTAACAGCAGCTCCCGGCTAAATGTGGCTAAATTGTAACTGTGGCTGCTCAGTTTGCTGGACAAACCTATCAGGGGTGCAGACAAAAAAAAAAACTTGCTTGGTCATGATGTTATTTGCCTCGCCCAAATGTTCTGTCAAACCTTATCTGTACTCTGATTCTTGACCCAGATGTATTTGTTTGTTGGGTTCAAAGACAGACAATAAGACCCCAGCCAATGTGGCTTCAAAACTGCAAGCCAGGCTGTGTCATGTAGGAACTTTCTAATACCAAAAGTCAGTGTCTTTGTCAGCGGACCCCACCATTTTGCTGAGTGCGATCAGTTCAGCACGACGATCACAGGCGAGAAAAGTAAAAGAAAGGTGAGAATGAAATGAATAGAAAAAGACACGGGAGAATGCAAAAACAGACAGGCGGGTCTATATGCCACAGGCTTTCTCTTCAGCAGCAGTAGCTGAGTCTCTCTCTCTGCATGGCCTGCCTGTGTGTGTGTGAGGGTGTGTGTATGTGTGTGTGTGTGTGTATGTGTGTGTCGTTGCTCAGCATGCATTTTTTTCCTGTTTTTCTGCCTTCCTCTGTCTGCCTCATATCACAGCTGTGTGTATGTGTGTGTCTACCTATGTGTGTTTGTGTCATACGTCTCTTAGAAAACCTGCTGGGCCCTAGCTTGCACTCACACTGAGCGGGAGAGGAGAAAGAGAGGGATGGATGGATGGATGGAAGAGGGAAGTGCGAGGGGTAAAATGTAGAGTGGGTCAGAGAAAAGAGGAGGAAGAGTATTTTTAGAGAATGTCTCGGTAGAGAGACGAAGAGAGAGAGAAACAGAGGGGAGAGCCTCATGCTGTTTTCTGAATATTAAAATGGAGGTTACAAAAATGGGCTGGAAGGGAAAATAAGAGGGGAGGAGAAATGTTGTAACAGAGGTGAGATGGAGAGAGCATGATGTCAGGAGTGAGATTTGGCATGCAGGTGTGTGTGTGTGTGTGTGTGTGTGTGTGTGTGTGTGTGTGTGTGTGTGTGTGTGTGTGTGTTTTTTTGTGTGTGTGTGTGTGTGTGTGTGTGTGTGTGTGTGTGTGTGTGTGTGTCATCTCCCCAAAGTGTTCTAGAACCTCTCCTGACACTCTACTTGTCATGTGACCCACCATGTACTGATGTGTGTGTCTCTGTTGTTTTTTTTTGTGTGTGTGTGTGTGTGTGTGTGTGTGTGTGTGTGTGATTGAGAGACATAATGTTGTCTTTATTTGATGATTCAGGGGAGGGCTCTAACTGGATAATTGCTCGCCTCGACAACGTGCTTCATCTGCACCCGCAGCGATTGCTGGTTGCCAAGGTTACGTGGGCGTGTGTCAACACGTTCCCCTGAAAACCGACACCTTCCTGAATGGATAATACCATGACTCTGTAGATTCTCTCTCTCACACACACACACACACACACACACACACACACATACAAACATAATCCACGCTCAGACTAACATATGGAAGAGAAAGCAGACAGTAACAATGCCCTGAGATACACAATACCTTTGTATGTGTGTGTGCGCGTGCCCACTCACTGTACACACTTACACTGTAATTGATGAATCTTTTATGTTCCTTCAGGTGTTTCCTTGCTTCACCCGGTCTTCACCTGTACAGCACTGAAACATGGCCTGTGTGTGTGTGTGTGTGTGTGTGTGTGTGTGTGTGTGTGTGTATACCTGCTTTCAAAGCTCTCTTTCTCTGCTTTCTCATTGTTTTTCAGCCCTTTTGTGCCTCCCTCCTCTGTTTTAGGCTCATTCAAAACTAGTTCATACAATGTGTTTTCACACTTCTAAGTATATTTCCCCTTTTAGAATTTAAACAGCACAATTTCAGACCAAAGTTATTGCACTTCAGTGGAATCGGTATGATTAGTAGATTCACCGATGCGGTATAAATCCATGCTCAGCTTTTGCATTAAGTTTGGTTTTGGTGAACTATGACATGTGAATGTGGGCTGTTGACAAAGACTAAAAGAAGCTAACATATTTCCTGTATTGCACCAGCAAAGCTCTGCTGATGTATTAACTGCTCCACTGGGTTTGCAGAAACTGAAGAGACAGAAGTAAAAATGTGATGATACAATCTCTTGAAAAAACTGTGGTAACTTATTGTC